ATACAGTATATATGTATAGATATTTTTATTTTGGTTGAAAGAAGTCTCTTATGCTTGACAAGGCTGAATTTATTTGATGACAAATATGGTAAAAAGAGTAATAATGTAAAATTATTACAATTTAAAATAACTGTTTTATTTGAAAAAATCTTATTATTCCTGCAACTGCAAAGATGAATTTTCAGCAGTCATTACTTCAGTCTTCAGTGTCACATGATCAGAAATCATTATAATATGCTGATTTGCTGCTCAATAAATATTTCTTATTAGTATAATCAATCTTGAAAACAGTTGTCTTAACATTATGAAAACCGTGATCTATTTTTCTCATCATTCTTTAATGTAAGCTAAATTAGTATATAAATTCTACCACTAAATAATTATACTAAATATACTATATTTGGGGAGCTAAATTATGTGATTATTTATATTTTGTTCAAAATAGAAATGAAATCTCTTTGGTTTGTGACTATGTTGAATTTCCGTACAAAGCTAATTCCTCTTTATCATCATGTGGTATGTGGGCAATTCAATTAAAAGGGTGGTTCATTGCGATTTCACTTTTTTAACGTTAGTTAGTGTGTAATGTTGCTGTTTGAGCATAAACAATATCTGCAAAGTTACGAAGCTGAAAGTTCAATGCAAACGGAGATATCGTCTTTTAAAAAGATCGCAGCTTAATGCCTACAAAAACGGCTCGTAAGGACTACAACGAGTTACTTCCCGGGTTCGTGACATCACAAACACAGATAAACCCCGCCCTCGGGAAAAAGGCAGCAAAGGGGGCGAGGCCAGGCTGCGCTGCTTTAGAGAAGAGGAAGAGAAAACTAGAGGTGCACGTAAAAATCTATTCATATATGAATCGACGCGCGTGCAGTTGCCGTACTGTATTAAAGCTTTAATCAAGATAAAACCGTATATTAAAAGCTAACAGAAGCAGTAGCATTTACAAATAACAGCGTATCTAAAAGTATGAGACAACAACAAGCAAAAAACATAGGCCTACCATTAAAAGCCGTGCTTGCACATGTTCTGCACGATCCTCTTCAATAATATCCTCTGCTTCTCAATCAGGCTCAAACTGATAAGCGATATTAACGATGCCTTTGCTTACAACACAACCGGAGCACATGCTGCTGAGGAGAGGTGCGGGGCGTTTAGACGCGCACTAGTGGCAGTTTAGCCAATCACAACACACTGGGCTAGCTAACCAATCAGAGCCCATCGCCTATTTCTGAGGGAGGGGCTTCATAAAAGCAGGAAATTTATCAGCGCGTTTCTCAGAGAAGGGACAGAGCGGTGTGGAATAAAGGTAAATTATGTGAAAAAGAATGCGTTTTTTTTTTTAAACGAAGCATTAACACATGTTAGACTGCAACCCATAAACACAATCAAGCCTAGAAAAAAAACATTGAACCACCCCTTTAAAGAAAGTAAAATATATTTTTTTAACATTCTAGTTATTTTTGTGTGCTCTGTGTATTGTTTCAGTGCCCAATAGGTATATAAATATAATGACTTTTTAAACTGTATTAATTTACAACAAATTATATATGGATTGCAGATAATTAAGGATTTGCTGAAATAGCACATGCACAAATGTATTGTATTAATCTCAGCTGCATTGAAGTAATCTCCCCCATGTTGGACGTTCTGGTCCTCACACTGTTTGTCTGAAATCTCAGGCATTGTTTTTATTTAAGAATTATTGCTAATATCAAACTTATCACTGTAGGCTCTCCTAATTTTAATAATCATAATAGAGCATAATAGATATTTAAGTCTCAGAAGGAAGCAGAATTCTACTTTTCTATTGCTCTAGGGTCGTTATGCATGTTTCTGACGCTCACCTGTTTGTTTTTGTGTGTGCTGTTCAGTCCTGGGGAAGATCCGCAGTGCAGTGGGAAGTGCACAGCTGCTTATGTCCCAGAAGTTTCAGCAGTTCAGGGAACTGTGTGAGGAAAATCTGGTGAGTACTAGTAGGAATGATATAATAAACATTATTTGACAGAATCAACTTATACTATGAATTGAATTGACACTGAACTGACTTGAGCTGAATGATGACGCTATTGTCTTTTTAAGAGCTTCTTTACAGCAGAATTTGAATTCTTCAGTCTCATATTTGAAGACGTTTGGGGTCAGTAAGATTTTTCTTTTTAAAGAAATTAATACTTTAATTCAGCAACGATTAAACCGATCAAAAGTGACAGCCAAGACATTTATAATGATGCAAAAGATTTCTGTTTTAAATAAAAGCTGTTCTTTTGAACTTTCTAAGTATTATATTCATTAAAAAAGACAGCTAAAAATGTACATTTGTAATCACAGAAATAAATTACATAAAAAAATAGAAAACACTTATTTTAAATTGTAATAATATTTCACAATATTACTGTTTTTATTAATGTATTTTTGATTAAAATAAATGCAACCTCTGAGACTTCTTAAAAATAAACATTTTAAAAATCTTACCCGACCCCAAGCTTTTTGAACAATAGTGTATCTTTAAGGATGTGAATCTTTGGAAAATAATGGAATTGTGGGTACCTTTGCAAATACAGTACCAGGATGGACACACCATCTGCAGAGAAAACAGTTCCAATAAGGCAATAAGGATGTTTTGACAGCACAGCTGATTCTTATAGTTCCATTTTTGATACTTCTCTTGGCTCAGCAGAACCCAAACGCTCACCCACGGCCAGTGGCTCAAGATCTCGCAGGGTTCTGGGACATGCTTCAACTTTCCATTGAGAATATCAGCTTAAAGTTCGATGAGCTTCACCAGCTCAAAGCCAACAACTGGAGACCCCTCGACCCCCCTGAGAGAAAGGTACAACAAACTTGCAGAATCAGTACAGAGTCATTGACAGAAGAAGAATAAGAATGCAGACATGCTAGCTGACTGATCGCAGGGCAACGTTGCGTTTTTGTTTTGTTTTTTCATTCATGTGCATGGTCTGTTGCTTCTGTAGTGTGATATTAAGCATTCAAGTGTGGGCACTGGCAATAACAATCCTCCAAAATCCACAATATTATTCAATATATTTGACGTGTTGCTGTTGTCCCTGCGGCTCATGTGAGTCTGTTGGTCTAATGTGACTGTGAATGTTTCATTCACTCTTAATTTCCTGACATCCTCTTCATGTTTGTTTGTTTGTTTGTTTGACAGTGAGCTGTTTTCAGAAGTCATTCCATCCGGCACGCACCATGGGGGCAGCGGCCCCCAACCTCTCACCCCCGCCGGGCCGCTCTCTTACCGCACGCAGTCGGCCGCGGAAGCGTTAGCACC